AGGTGCGTATTAACGTCCACGAACATGAGAGATGAAGCTGACCCTTTTTCATTCACAGGCGAGGACTTTTGGCATACGGTTCCCATACCCAGGCTAGGTATCCCCTCGATTCGAGTTTCAGATGGTCCCAACGGCGTACGGGGCACTCGCTTTTTCAGCAGCGTTCCCGCCGCATGCTTGCCATGCGGGACTGCAATCGGCGCAACATTTGATCGAGATCTTGCCGTTGAGATCGGACATGTGCTCGCCGCAGAAGCGAAAGCCAAAGGCGCACACGTTTTACTTGGTCCAACAATCAACATTGCTCGCGGTCCACTGGGAGGAAGAGGCTTCGAGTCGTACTCTGAAGACCCGATCCTGTCTGGTGTTCTCGCGGGTCACTACTGCAGGGGACTGAAAGAGCGGAATATCAGCGCAACTCTCAAGCACTTCGTTTGCAATGATCAAGAGCATGAGCGTATGGCTGTCAGCTCTATCGTAACTGATCGAGCGCTGAGGGAAATTTACTTGCTCCCCTTTCAGATTGCGATCGCCCTTGGGAGTCCCGATGCAGTAATGACGGCGTACAATAAAGTTAATGGTGTACATGCGGCTGAGAATAAGACCTTGCTGCAAGATATTCTCCGTGGTGAATGGGGATGGGATGGGTTGGTGATGAGTGACTGGTAACAATTCCCTTTGTCTGTTTGGAATGGTGCAAATTTCAGGTATACTAATACACGGTTCATTTGGCTTCCAGGTTCGGAACATATAGCACATCCGAAGCTGTGGTGGCGGGTCTAGATTTGGAGATGCCAGGTCCTTCAAGATGGCGCGGCGCTGCCCTGACACACGCCATCACATCCAACAAGGTCCCACTTGTTGCATTGAATGATCGGGTCAGAGCAGTTCTGAAACTCGTGCAAAAGGCAAGCAAATCAGGCGTCCCTGAGCGGGCTCCAGAGACCCAGCTAAATCGACCTGAAGACCGAGCGCTGTTGAGAAAGATCGCGTCGGAAGCGATAGTACTTCTGAAGAACGATGGTAATATTCTCCCGCTAAACAAAAACAAAAAGGTCGCAATTATTGGACCTAACGCCAAAATTGCAACCTACTGTGGGGGTGGCAGTGCGGCATTGAACCCATACTATGCTGTGGCACCCTTTGATGGTATCTCCGCTTCAGCTCTGGGCGATGTGGAGTTTGCACAGGGTATCTACGGTCATCAAATGCTGCCCCTCCTCGGCAAGCGCCTTCGTACCGAAGATGATCGGGTTGGATTTACCTTGAACATTTTCAATGATCCACCAAGGCTGGCCACCAGAAAGCTTCTCGAGCAACGGCACGAAACCGATTCAATGATCATTTTCATGGACTATAATCACCCGGATTTGCAAAAGACTTGGTATGCGGACGCAGAGGGATACTTTACTCCTGACGAGTCCGGAACGTACGATTTTGGTCTCACGGTCCATGGCACTGCAAAGCTCTTCGTCGACGGTGAGCTTCTCATCAACAATGCCGACGTACAAAGACCAGGAACCAGCTTTTTCGGCAGTGGCACATTGGAGGACACAGCAGCCTTGGAGTTAGAGGCTGGTCGAAAATACAAGATCCACGTGCAATGGGGATGTGGCAAAACCAGCACATTCAGGGTCCCTGGTGTGGTCGATTTCGGACACGGTGGATTCCGCTTTGGGGCATGCAAACGCCTCTCCCCTCATGATGGTATCGCTGAGGCTGTTAAATTGGCTTCAAGTGTGGACCAGGTCATCCTAGTCGCAGGTCTGAGCGCCGAATGGGAATCAGAGGGGGAAGACAGGTCACACATGGCCTTGCCGCCCTATACGGATGAGTTGATCTCACAAGTGTTGGATGCGAACCCCAACACCGCTATTGTCATTCAAAGTGGCACTCCGGTCGAGATGCCTTGGGTTCACAAAGCGAAAAGCATTCTCCACGCGTGGTATGGAGGAAATGAGACAGGCAATGGTATTGCTGATGTCGTATTCGGTGATGTAAATCCAGTAAGTATTCCTGGACGCCCGTCGCTCATGCAGAATAATGGGAACTGACAACCATGTGCTTTCTGAACAGTCTGGCAAGCTTCCTCTTACATTCCCTCGACACCTCAAGGACAACCCCACCTTCTTCAATTATCGATCCGAGGGCGGCCGAGTTCTGTATGGAGAAGATGTCTATGTGGGATATCGATATTACGACGGCTTGGAAATCGATCCACTGTTCCCCTTTGGCCATGGACTTTCCTACACCACTTTCAAGCTCTCGGATCTGGAGCTTATCAGGGACTCAGACAGCCATCTGGAAATAAAGTGCAAAGTGCAAAACACGGGTTCCAGAACCGGTGCAGAGGTCCTCCAAGTATATGTGGCTCCTGTTTCTCCACCTATCAAGCGCCCTGTCAAGGAACTGAAGGAGTTCCGGAAGTGTTTGCTAGAACCATTGTCGGAAGAAGTTGTAACGATTCCGCTGGATCTGATTCGTGCAACAAGCTTCTGGGATGAGAAGAGTGGGAGTTGGTGTAGTCAGAGTGGGGCGTACAAAGTCATGGTTGGAACAAGCAGTCGGGGAGATTTCTTGGAGAGCTCCTTGGACCTGAACGAAACAGTGTTCTGGTCTGGGAGTTGGGAGGCAACCAATTGATAATTCTGTATTCGGCTATGAAATCCTTTCCTTTTTGGGTTAACACTTTACACATGTATGTAAAGAGGAAAGAGGAATGGTTATTCTCTTGACAGCTATCTCTTGATACGATCTGTATCTACCCATGTTTGTAGATGCATGGTGTTCATGCTTTCACTGCTGTCCAGTCGCGACAAGATTTCAGTGGACAGTTGAACATATTCGGCCGCTTGTTTTGATATGGGATCATCAGGGTGAAATGGACAGGCCAGAAGACTTGTCATGATATCTCGCACTTTGTTGGCTAGATGTAAACCATTCGCCTCCAAACTCAACCGTGGAAAATTAAATAGAATGAAGAACAACTGACGGCAAATCTTTTCTCTCTCCAACCAAAGCGATCTTTGATCCAGACCTGTGGGTTCGGTATTTGTTGCTGAAGGGTGAGCCTGTTGATGAGACTGCGCGGCTTCTAATTGATCCAAGACGAGACTCTGCAGCCACAGATGTGTGACGTGTAGATTTGCTCGCAGTGATGAGAATTGCAATTGAATGGCTTTTGTATTCTCGCCAATAACATTCTCGTCGAAACTTTCTGGGCTTGACTCCCATGGTTGGAGAAACGAGGGAATATCGATGAGTAGATTCTGGAGACAATCCAGGCGCTCTTGGAAGTACAAGACTTGGGCCCGAGGGTCCTTGGCTCTCATACATGCGCATGGATCATCTGCAGCTGTGCTTGGCTGAGGGCTTCTGATCGCGGCCCAAAATACGCGCGAGTGAAAAATGAAGACTGACACTAAGCATGGCTCGTTGTTGACACTTGCAAGCACCTCGTGTTCGAAGATCAATTCATCATCCACTTCGAGCGGCATGAGATCTTCTGGATTGATCGAATTTAGCAAAACTGGATCCAGATAAGTGAGTCGCTCGCCGAGTAGATTTTGCAGATGAGCGTGGCTAGAGGATACATAACTGTGTTAACTTCACGAAGGCAACGTTTTTCGAAGACCTCATCATACTCACACAAAACAATAGAATATAAGCCAGAACCCCTTTTTGCGTAGTTGAGTCTCGATGTAATTGAGGCCATCGTAGTCAGAAATCCGATGAAGATTCAGAAGACGTGCAATTTGCATCGCTTCTACACTCAACATACGGGCCCAATTGTGATCTCCAAGCTGTAGGTAAGCCGCGAAAAAGAGATATGGAACAGCAAATTTCTGAAAATTGAGCTCGTCGAAATACGAGGAAGTTCGCAGCCCCATTACTTTCTGGTAACAGAAGTGAATGAACTCCTTGCGCGATGAGAACCTTAAGGAATGCGAATCTGATTGGTAGGCCTGGAATCTGCTTCTCATGGTAGCCACCACCAATGCAGCGATAGATAGGATGAGCGCAAGGAACCCATCATCCTCGCGGTCTTGGTCCTCCTGAACTGCTTTCCGGAATGATGGACGGTGAACAATTGGAACCATTGGGTAGATGTAATCTATATAGTCTTGCATAATCGCTTTAAACAGACCTCGATCGCAGAGATCATCAGTCTTATGTGGAACTGTTGGAACACGATGTGCTTCCGGTTGTATCTCTGCAGGGTATCTTCATGGGAGTTAGGACATGGCCCCGGAATTCCAGCAAGCGAGTAATATGGCGTACCGCTTTTTAGGTCCTCTGGTCTTCGAGGGTGAATCATAAGTGCATGACAGGTTTAAATGCTCACATCTTGCGCACCGCGACAAGGCATGCCCGGACGGTTGGAGTTTGCATTTTACCTTGCGCTTGCGACAGGTATCGCACGCCTGGGTTGATAGATCTGCACGAGGAGTGGATTGAGTCCCCTGTAACATCATGAGTAAGAATAAAACGGTAGAGCCAACATTTTATACGCGGAAATAAGAAAGCGGTCGATCAGCAGGAAGGCAATTTAAATTGTCGGTAGTTCCCGAGGGCGTTCTCTGTAAGGTCACCCTGAGAGGTGAGTGGCGCCCTGGCTTTCGCTACACTTAGTAAGCCAGTCATCCATATGTTTATGTAATCGGTAGATGATGCCCTAACCAACAGCCCAACTGTTGGATTAAAGCATATCATCTATAGGTAGCATCTATAATATAAATCGTATTATAGGGATAGTAGATTATGCAGTGATGTTTCATTTCCTCTTCATAGTCGTAGAGCTGCCAACAACCCTTTTCCGGTCATACTCTCTATTCTCTATACCAAGGACAGTGCCAAAGTAAGAAATGAGTATATCCATAAACGTTTGACAGAAATATAAAATTGTCTTGTTATTGTTCTCTCATTGATCCCAGTTAATATGATGCCTAATTTCGATTTTCATCATTCGGCAAACAAGGACAGAAAAAATGCACCCTAACTCAAAGTATGTACTTGAACAGAGGCGAACGATCACCCATCAGCTGTAACTCATGATCGGTATATTTGTTGTAAATTTCTTCTCTGCTCATTTCCGCGTTCCGTTTATTGGTATACCAGAGCTTGACCTCCAGGATGATACTTGCCGCTACGCCTGCCGCGGCAAACGCAAAAGAGCTTCCAAATCCGGTGGGATACATTGGGGCTTCACGCTCAAGGTATATAAATGAACCCACGAGGCCGCCTGCGTTACCAAGGCTTAGCATGAAGGCGATGCCCATGGATTGCTTTCTTAGTCCGGCAAGATTGTTGGATGTCCACGCGTTGGTTCCGGGGATGATCGGGTATAGGCCAATGCAAGCGAGAATCACTGCGAAATAGCAAGCCGCAATATTATCCTGGATACTTTCGGCTAGCGAGAAGAGAACCGCAAATGCAATAATCACCAACAATTGACTGATAACAATGATCGGCATACGCCATCTCAATTTGTCAGCAAGGAGTGCAAATAGGTATGCTGATATCGCGCCAGCGATATATGGCGGAATCGAGAGCAGTTGAGCATTCGCAGCAGTATATCCCATATTGGTGATAATCTGGGGAAGAGAAAACTTTAGCCCGTAATTGGGAACCGTGTTAGACCAGATATTGAGGACTTGCAGGTAAAGGTGCGAATCCTTAAAGACACTGAACAATGTTTTCCAGTCAAATTTGTCCGCATTTTCGTCGACCACGATACGGCCTCTCTCGGCTTGTTTCCTCAATAACAAATACCGAATCTCATCAGGTTCAAGCCATTTGGTGGACAGCTGTGGTGAGTCCACGAGACAGAAAAAGCAGACAAATGCCAGGAGCACCGATGCGGCTCCTTCAACGATGAAGATCCACCTCCAGCCAGCATAGCCTCCTATACCATCCATTTTTGTGAGACCGAATGCGAGGAGTCCAGAGAATGCACCAGATAGTGAACTTGCAGTGTAGAAAAGTGCAAGTCTGGTTTGGGTTTCATGCTGCAAATACCATCGAGAAACAAGCCAAACAGCTCCGGGGAAGAATCCGGCTCTATCAAAATGACGTACAATAGATTAGTCTATTGTCTGGGATAAGAAATTAATGAACGGACGGCCTTACTCAAAAATGCCTAGGAGGAAGCGAGTTGCACAAAGGGCAGAAAAGCTTTGAACGAGCCCCGTGAGGGTTATAACGGTGCCCCATGTAAATGTCAATAATCCCAAATAAACAGATGGCTTCTTGAATTTTCCCAGCAGAATATTGCTAGGAACCTCTGTAATGCAGTCAATATTCATACAGCGAGTGATGAATTATATATTTCCCCTTACCACAAAGCACGTAAGGGACAAAGAAGATTGCCAGAGCAATATTATACTGGGTGCCAGACATGTTCAAATCGGGCAGTAGGCCTTCAATTTTGGCGTTTCCTGCGATATTCCTAAATTAGCAAAAGAATAGGCCAAGAAACAGGGGCAATGGCAAATGACCAATGTTTGCTCGGTCAATGTAGGAACAAAGATAGAGAATCATCAACACGGAGCAGAGACGCCAATCAACCTAAATCGAGTATTAAATATGTCTCAGGGAACTAGACCAATGGCAAGATTCATGCTGACCTTTCGAATACATTTCCTTCTTCTCTCATCTGAAAAGTTGGCAAGGAAATCCGAATCCTCGATGGTCAACCCGGCTTCTATATATGCCTGGTGGAGATTCAGGGTTGCTTCCAGACCTTTATCGGGGAAGGAATTTTCGACCTCTCTGATGCTGGATGGCGGTGATGAATACATGGCAAAATATATTGACAAATGTGCTTTCTGGGGAGAAATAGAAAAGCACAAGACGGTCTATTGGTTGATGTTTATATACTGTGCTCCTCCCCCCCCCAGCTCGCCTCCAACAACGCCGGGACAAAGAAAGAGCTGCGAGAGAGATCATATCTGCGGGGTAATTGGGTTTCCATATTGTATATTGCCGAGCTTGGGAAAGTAGAAATAGAGCCAAGATTGAAATGAGCTCGTCACTCCATTAGCCATGTTAGTCGCAGTGCCCGAGCATGACCGAAAATCACCGGTAGCGGTACCTAGTTTTGTATATGTCACCGACATTCTTCCTTCTACGTTTCTCTCTCTCTCTCAATCAACTATCAATTTTGTACCTGAAGCTCTATCATTCCCTATATAGCATTCCCGCAATATCCCTATACTAGCAAAATCATTTATAACCAAAAATAAAAGACAGGGGATCTTTAGGAATATGGCTTTAGATAATGAGTTGATGTAATAAGTAAACTAAAAGATTGTTGGCGAAGCATCCAAAATGAATACATAATATCCATTAAATTGTCGTTTGTAGTAATCAGATCTTCGCCGGCCGGCAGACAGATGTGATTTCGCCCAAAAAGATCAATCTATCCATGTCAGACTCATGCCGCCATGATGACTTCAAGCCGCCTCTGGGACCCACGAGTGCTTGTGAGCGTACCCACCTAGAGGCTATCTGTTTAGCGCGCTCATCACCATCGGTCGATGCATCGTAAATTAGCAGACACGAGGACACTATAGCGGCAATATGTTGCAATATATCCCTCCCACACCATAAGAGTTCCTCCCTGCTGGTACTCTGTGTGATCTCAAGAAGAGCGTTTAATCTTCCTTCCACAATACCACACTCCTCCACAAACCTCATTTGGCAGCTCTTCAAAATATTCTTCGTCCATTCAACCAAAATAAAGCCCGCCGACTTCTCACCCTGCAACCGTTTGTCGGTAAGAACTCGAATAACGTCCTCAGCCATAACGCTGACCGTGCCCTCCCAGATGGCATTGACGGTTGTGTCTCGATAGATCTTGGCGATGTTCAGGATACCACCATCTTCGTTATTCTCGCAGTAACCAACCCCACCTAGGCATTCCATACATGCGCGAAGTCCGTGGGTCGAGTTCACACTAACAGTGGCCTTCAGGGCAGGTGTGATCAGACGCAGGAGAGTGGCAGCCTTGACAGGGTTTTGTGGAATAAGTTCGGCAGCGTTGGTATTGCGGACCATGGAGTCCCAGCTCTGTTCGATGGTACCCTGCAGCGCAACCCCGAAGAATGTGAAATGCATTGCCGCAGAATACTTCACCATCTCGTCCGCCATCCATCGCACATGCGGCACATTCTCCTGCAGAAGCACTCCGCGCGTTTTACGAATGTGAGTGTATGCCCGGCAAATGGATAGCCCGCGGCCCCAGCCTGCTGCTGATCCACCAGCACAATAGAGTCGAGTGATGTTGAGCACTGTCGAGATGGCATTGATTCCCTTTCCTTCTTCTCCAACCAGCCAGCCACGGACCCCCTTCAACTCCAACTCTGCCGTGGGTAGGGACTTGGTGCCCAATTTGTTCTTCAAACGCTGGATACGAATGCCGTTCAGCTCGCTCGAGGTACTCTTCTTTTCGGAGCGACGCCGCATGGGGGCGAAGAAGAGGCTGAGACCCTTATCTGTCTGCGCAAGTAGCAGGGCCATGTCAGAGTCGGTGGCACTGCTAAACCACTTGAACCCGTCGATGCGCCATGGGCCCAGTTGCAATCCATGGGCATCCGTATCTCGTCCCTGTTCGACATCTTGCGAGATCTCCTGTGTCGTCAAACGCCGCGCCAGCGTCTCCGTCTCCCGCACATCACTACCACCCGTTCTCTCTGTCATCCATTGTCCACTAGTCCAGGCCTCATTAGGGTTGTCTGATATGAGACGTCTGTATGCTTCTTGAAAAACCGTACGACGGCCAGGCTGGTCACCATCCACATCGTCCAGGCGTGCTGCCAACAATTTGGCTGCTCCGTCTGTCATTGAGGCAGGACATCCCGTCATCGCAGCACTGGGAGACCACACATGGTTCAATGCGAACTGATGCACACGTCGATTCCACTGTTCATTGCTCTTATTGTAGGCGGCTGTAACCAAACCCTCTTCTTGCCCGATGGTTTTCAATTTTCTCCATCCTTCTCCAGTAATTAATGGGTCAACGCGATTCTGGTTGCCAAAAGTATTAAGTGGCCGGATGATAGGTGAGTTCACCTCAGCATCGGTCGCCAAGTTCAGGGTAACTGGATCCAGTGCACGACGCGATAGGTTGTGGACTGAGACACCAACTGAGGATTCACGTGGCAGGTACAGATTGAGAATTCTTGCAAGGGCTGAATCGTCCGAAGCGGTCAGGGAGCTGGAGTCTGCGGACCCATCGCTAACGAAGGTATATGCCGGGGGAACAGTGGGGATGGATTGGAAGAAGCCATCCGTTGACGATGAGGGCTTTCTGATGGTTGATACCATCTTATCTGTTCAGTTTGTATGTGGGGAGATGAAGTTAGGCCATAGGTTTCCTCCAGGTGCACCCTACTCCGTATATAAGCTCCGTATAATGTCGATCACAACCGAGGTTCTCCATATGGTACCCGTTTTGGATACCCCAGTTCCACCGGATATAACACATATCTCATTGGTTCATAATCTGCTTTGTATCCACATTTGGGATTTACCGGGTATCTTCCACCGGATATAGTCCATCTGGTAATTCGAGAGTTCCACATGGAACATAAAAGGTTTTTTATTCTCTTCCTACATACCTAGGTATACATTATGTGCCACATAACTGTCTTACTTGCTCCTCTCCTCATCTGCTACGATGTCTTCTTGAACCCGCGCCAGCAGAGTCAGAAGGTCTTTTTGCTGTCGCATTCGCCGATTCAGGATGTCGCTGTCATTGGAGTTCCGGATATCAAAATGGCGGGAGATGAGCTCCCCCATGCGTATGTGGTCGCTAATCAGAGAAAGATCACATCAGATGCCATCAAAAGTATTGTTAAAGATAACCTCGCGTCGCATAAGCAATTGAGGCGCGGCGGTGTCTTAAAATTCCCAAAAGTCCAACTGGCAAAATCATTCGAAAGTAATTGCGCCGGGTGGCTGCACTGGAAATCAAGGCAAAGCTATAATGGTGGGACTTGCAGTGGTATCGTATATCATGTAGATAACAGACCTGGAAGAGTCATGGATGTAGGATATTATTCAAACAGATCATAATTCGTCCTGTTGACCTTTCATATACCCATTAACATATATAAAATTCAACAATAGATGAACATGAGTAGATCTAATCGATGTCAAAAATGTAGGTCAATTGGAACTGTATAGTGCGGGGAGTAGATCCCTCGGCAATGGTCTCCACTATGACATAAACCTCGAACATCCGACTTCCACCGGATCTGCCGATTCTACTCTTATATTCCGCTATTATGGCGCCCTCCAGGGTCCAATCTGCCTGTGCCAGGTGTCGACGACAGAAACTTAAGGTCTTTCACTCTTGTCATATATCGCGGATATTACTCACTCGTTCCAGTGTGATGATACCCGACCCTGTCAGTTGTGCATTCGCTCCGAAGCAGAATGTACAGATGTTATAAACAAGCGTCGAAGGTTAGTATAATGGGCTCGTGGTGTACTATTATATATCTAAAGGTTATAGACAAAATATTGGGGCCCAGCAGTCACAAAACAGAAAACGCCCTGAGCATCATCCACTGCCTGTAAATACAGCCCTTTCACACGATCTGAGGCCCAGTCTACAGCTACAGACTGTGACCAGTGGCAACAATGCTACAGATCCGGTCACCAGTCAGAGGGAACGAGCCCATTCAACCTTTCATCATGTCCAGGAGGTAAGTCTCTTTGCCGTCAACACGTTTTTCCATAGCCCTAATCCCAACTAGCTCTTTCGCAATCATATGGCTACCCTCCGGGACTCAGATGCCATTCCTGATGGAACCCCAGCAAACAAGCAGTCCCAAGTTCGGGAATCGAGAATACCAATCATAGAATTAATTGGGATACAGCTCCCCTCAGCACCAGTTACTATGACCTTGTTGGATGCGTATCTTCAAGCGAGTCATTGGTACCTTTCCTTGTTCCACGAGCCAAGCTTTCGGGCTCGGCTCGTCACCATTCTTCAAACAGAGGGCATTCTCCCATCAGAAAAGTCATTCTTACTGTTGCTGCTGGCCGTCTTAATTATTGGAGCCCGTTTTTCCAATCACGAAGCTCTACATTCTCTGGATCCACAGTTTAATCCTCAGCAGTCCAGGGCAATATGGATCGAGGCTATGGAGAATCATATATTCTGGATCCTACAGGAAGCTACCCTAGAATCCGTTGCCTGTGCGGTTCTGATGTCCATTGCATACCTTCTAGAACGCAAGACGCAGCTCTCCTTCACCATGTCCGGATTGGGATCGCGAGCAGCGCAGGCGATGAGCATTCATGACGAGACCACATGGGGACACCTAGATCCCATTGAGGTACAGGTACGACGACGGGTTTGGTGGTCCATCTACATGGTTGATGTGTGAGTTTCGCTCGCCTCTGTATAAACATACGAATCAATTTAACATTATCTTCCAGGTACATCGCACAAGCATACGGGAAACCTTCAATCCTCCCAACCGTGCAGTTCAACGTTTCCGAGCCGGAAGATCTGGATGATACCCTAGCCACTTGCCCGGGGATTGGGTCATACGAAGTACGAGCAGATGGCACGTTCAAGCCCGTGACGATCTTCTCATACAACCGCTACAAAGCACAGCTATACTCGATTGCCGACCCAACAGCACACAGCATACGCCTACCTCATATCAAGCGCACCTATTCCCGTCTACTAGATTGGGAGAAGACCGTCCCGCGAGAACTCAAGCTTGACAACTTTTCGGAAGATCGGAACATGATTAACAACGCTGCTTTGCGTGTCTTTTCCCTGCAAGCCCTAACGCTGCAGGTGACGTATGACTATAAACACTTGATACTGTTTCGCCCGTTCCTTCTCAGTAAGAAATACCTCAGTGTCCGATTACAAGATGGTCCGACCGAAACGCAAGATGTATCTGATACCACAATCCGTGACCAATTATTCACTTCTGCGTTACGCATGTCTAGTATCTGTCGATGGCAAAATATCCTACTTATGCTTGGGGATACTACATCTGCCGCTCAACTGTGTTTCCAGTGCTTCACGGCGGGCGTGGTGCTCGCGATGCTGGCCTTGTCCGAACTCTCCTCCCCGCGACTGCCTGAATGCAAGCAAGGTTTAGCCCGCCTGATTAAATCCCTGGAAGTGGCCGGTGCGGGTAGTCCGTTATCCCGACAGAGTGTTGATATTTTGATGGAAGCCATGCATCTCATCTCAGCCGAGGAAGTCAAGGAGCTGGTCTCTAGGGCGGGGAAACCGGCGGAAGATGTACGCAGTGTTTTACCAACAGAAACCTTAGTCACACGGTTGGCGGATAGCCATACGTCTGGCGATATACATCGTGCGATTCACCAGCCAGATGGAGTACACGGACAAGAGATGTGGGAGGGGCTGGACTTGATGCCAGATGAGAGCGAGCCAGAAATACTGAACTCCATCTCTCTGTATCAATCCCTTGCTTCTTTGTTCTAATCAATACATTATAATATGAACTGCTATTGATGATTTTTAATTCAAAGGTTTACAAGATGAGGTGCAAAATAATGAGGACGGGTGACTGCCCGTGGACCTCGGGATGACAAACAGTGGCCGCCCGTGAGTGGTTACGTCAGTAGGCCTAGGTAGGTACTCACGTGGGGCGTGCTCAGTTTTACCCGGGGATCAAAAAGCGGCAAGAGCTTACGCCCAAAGGGGAAGGGGCCAGGTTTCAGGAGGTCTAGCCATTTTATCCAGTGCATGCACGGCCTGCCTTAGTGTATATGCATCTCGACAGGTTGGTGTAAAAATACCAACATCCCGGTCTTCCAAGTTTATACTTTATATCTCAATCTTGTTCAGGTGTCTATCCGATATGCTTGCGAACTGTATTCCATTGGTGCACGTGGTTGTGGTTTGTGGTCACTTTGATAGTAACTCAACCCCCCCTGGACGGCCTAGGACCTGACACAACCATCATGCAAAGTTGAATTGAAGCTACAATTCAACAATGCGCAATGTTCCAGGCTACTCCAGAAATATATTAATGACTTTTTATGGAATCCCCCGGGACCACCCCGGGCATATCCCTGCCTACACGGACAATCCACATAGCGGTCGGGCAAGCCGGTAAATCCGTCTGAATCCTTGCAGAAAAGTAGCGCCGGAGAACATTGGCCTCATATCCGAACAAACCTTGGAAATTGCTATTCCGTGTCTAAACTGCTAGCGGGGTTTCCAAGTTTCCAAGGGATGCCACGTAGCAATCATAAGGTTAGCTTAAGTTAGCGTTTCTACTCCGGTACTCGGTATCCAATCCCAGCTAGAGCGATTGGTAAACAGTCTCAATTCGGATTTATACACGAACATAACCCCTTGTGGTTGGTAAATTATCTCTCTCAAACTTTGGCTGGATTTTCAGCATCAAACACATCACCATGCTACTACTGTGGTTCGGTTTATTTTCCTTTGTTTTCGGGGTGGTGATCTACCGGCTACAATTCCATCCCCTGAGCAAGTTCCCCGGGCCGAAACTAGCAGCCATAACAAGTTTATATGAATTTTATTACAATGTGGTCTTGGGTGGTCGGTATCTGTGGGAGATAGAGAGAATGCATGAGCAATATGGTAAGGAGTTACTATCGGAGACATTGGAGATCGTATCTCGACACTAAATATTTTCAAGGCCCTATTGTGCGCATTACTCCTCACGAGCTTCATGTGGCAGATCCCGACTTTTATACGGAGATCTACGCTGGCCCGACCAGGAGGCGTGATAAAGACCCGAGACTTGTGCGACTGGCAGGTCAACCAATGTCCATGTTCGCGACTGTGGATCACAGCCTGCACAGTTCGCGTCGATCCATCCTGAGCAACTATTTCTCCAAAAAGTCAATTGCGGGCCTGGAGGACATGATCCAGCGCAAAGTGCAAAAGCTCGTCAAACGTCTCAACCTAGCCTGTGATCAAGGCACAATTGTACAGCTGGATGCTGCCTCTTCGGCTCTGACTGCGGATATTATCTCGGAGTACGCGCATGGTGTGAGCCTTGACTACTTGGATGATGTCAATTTCAACAACGAAGTTGCAGACTCCATCCTGAGTCTTGCATCTGTAGTTCATGTGTTGAAGTTTTTCCCTTTCCTTTTGGATCTTTCAAAGTTCATCCCTGATGAGGTGCTTGGAAAGCTTTGGCCCCATGCAGCCAACATATTGCGACTGCAAAAGCTGGTTCGTGCGCAAGCAGATGTTGCACTTCAAAATGAAGGTAAAGTGGACGGTCAAGTAACAATGTTCGGTGCTCTATGTGACCCTTCCTTGCCCGCGCAAGAAAGAACACTAGATCGCCTGCAAGACGAAGGCTTTTCGTTGATCGGCGGAGGCACAGAGACTACAACAGGAACATTGAAGATCTGCATGTTCCACTTGCTCAATGACAAGTCCTTGCTTCTAAAGCTCCGCACGGAGCTTGAACAATCCCCTTCTAGCACATGGGCCGAACTTGAAAAACTGCCGTACATGGTAAGCCATTACGTTATGCGATATTCAAAGACAAGACTAACCAACGAACTTCGTTTCAGAGAGGAGTGATAAATGAGGGACTTCGGCTCTCCGGCGTCATAACTCGTCTTCCCCGACGTGCACCCGATGAAGCCCTGAAATACAAGCAGTGGACAATTCCACCAAACGTAAGGTCCTATATTCTCTGAGATCGACAATGCTAACGCATCCATACACCTGAACAGTCCCTAATGAGTACTTCCACTCATTTTGTTCATACAAACAAGGATTTGTTCCCTGATCCGCATACTTTTGACCCTGAACGCTGGATCCGGGCTGAAGCATCCGGCAAGCGCCTGGAGCATATGATTGTCACCTTCAGTAGGGGTTCTAGGCAATGTCTAGGCAACCAGTAAGTTATATCCTACCTCCTCCCTGTATTTCCAAGGCTTACCCCAGAATCTAGTCTGGCTTTGGCGGAGTTGTACCTGGTCATTTCCATGATGGTACGGAAATTCGATATGGATCTATATGGTGTTACGGCAGACAACATTGTCACACATAGGGAGTATGGTTTTGGTGTTCCAAAAGCAAGAGGTGATGGATTCAGAGTCAGCATCAAGCGGGTTCCTAACCCATAGTTTGCGTCTTTTGACTTCACATCTATATCGAGGGGTTCACCATTATGCGATCATGATAACACCGCCCGAGCATCGGCTCAACAATGATATTGTATATCAAGCTCATGGTCAAGCTTACCAAAGAGAGAGCAAAGCAGCTGCCAAGCTGTAACCTCATGTGGTCGGCACAAGCCAATAACTGGAATCTTTGATACGCCAGTCATTTTGTTATCATCCTTGTATCTCCGATTCTCAGTCGGAGTAACAAAGACAAGTGACAAAACCACAAGATCAATGCCATTCTACTTTTTTGTTCGTTTCCGTTTATACATTCTTTGTTTATAAGAATAGTTATACAAATCTCGAGGTCACTGAACATATACGACTGACCAAACCATACTCAACTCATTCTTCTACAACTTTATCAACTGACCTTTATCGGACTATCCGAAGCTTGTTTGCCTTTCACATAAAGTAATCATTCACAGCCTCGACCTTACAAGACTAGCTCCATCGCTATCCGCTGCCATCCCACTAATCCATTAAACCACAGCCATGTCAGGACGCAGATCGTCGATCGAAGAGTTCCGCGACGAACATGCTAATTTCTGGACCCTTATGCAGCAGATCATCCATGGTCTTAGAAACAACTACCCAGCAAACCAAGACGACATCATTGGTCGGATGGGCCAGCTCAATCTCCAGCTCTCGACCCTTCGACGAGCCGGAGAGACGATGGGTTTAAGCTATCCACCCAACTCCATCGTCCGCGATGCTCCCCCACAGTACTTCACTGCCCGCGCTCAACGCCATCAGAATTACTTCGGCACCGAGTTTGGGTATTCCTGCTGGTATACCCAAGCCCAGCTCGGCTACGCCATTGCAGACCTTCTCCGCCAGCGAGACCACACCCGCGTAGCCGACCAGTTGGAACAGTTACTAGCGAGTTGGCATTTGGCCGAGATGAGAGTCTTCCCCCGCCAGCTTCCTGCACACAATCCCGTGCAGCAGCCAGCCAGTATCGTGCACATTGATGGCCCCCCATACTATGCACCCGGCGGTGCTGGACCAGTCACCAAGGCAACAAAGATTGCTGGGCCATCCCGCACCCACCCGCGTGTCACTATAACTATGCCCGCCCCAACAGATGCTATTTACGGCGTGGCACGGCGAACCCGCCATCGCGCTGCCCCATACCCTGAACCGGGTGTTCGTCCGCGACGTCGTGGGAACGCTAGGCTAACACCGCCGATGCCTCAGATGGCAGCTCCACTCCGTGATATCGAGCAGAATGGCGTTCTTCCGGACCCAGTTCTTCCGGGTGTTAACTCCCTTTTCACCCCACTCAACCTCCCTGGTGGGCGTGCTCTGCCTGGTGCACCGAAGACGTCTGTGCAGCCCCCAGCCGGTATGCAGCTCCCATCTAATGTACCAGCTCCTAGCACTGATGATGCTGTGTCTGTTTTGAATGCCAATATTGGGGATACTTTGAATAGCAACCCCCGTCTGGACTCCGGCGCTCGTCGTTGAGATTATCAGTATCGACGGGGTAATGGGTAATAAACCCCGATTTGGGGCTTCTCAATTTGGATTTTAGATCATAAATATGTATGATTTGGTATTGAATATCGATGAGGTCTAAGAATATTGGTTGGCTTCGTTGTTATTGCTTACACTGACTTTGGATTGATAGACTTTTATACTCACCTTTGCTTTTATAGACTATGTATTGCCCTCTCTTTTTGAGAAAATTTTTAACGCTTGGTTGGTACCATTGAATGAGAATGTTTTATACACAGGAAATTATCCCATAGTAGATTTAGTCGCCCTTGTCCTTCAGAGACATTCTCTGAGTAGCTTTAGTCACACAGGCGTACTTCCAACCAAGGTTGGGACCCTAGAGTTTAGTAGAATCCATAGTATGCATTCACTAAATAATCCAGTCCTTCTGATCCGGTTATATCTCTTTTCGGCTCAGAAAATGACTATTAAAATATTTTTGTAGCTTCCTATGTGAGATATATATATCAGTGTAGATGCAAGCGTAAAACAAATGAGGCGATGAGTCAAATCCATGTTAACCAGCCAATTAAGCAAATATGGCTTTGTTGCTGCCTTCACCATACGTCTATTCATATATCTGTCTAGTATTTACCTGCCAATGCTAAGTCACGCAATCCTCATGGGCTGATGGCTTTCTCAGCACAAAGACAAAAAACCCTTGTACGCTGTTTCGGATATGGTTAGACAGGTAGATGGGACGGATTCGAATGGCTTGTAGATTCTTATTCAGATACTCTATTCATAACACAATAATTACCTTGGCAGTCCGGGAGTCTAGGCAGAGGTAAATAGTTGTTTGATATATATTTGCCA